ATGGTGCAAGTACTACATTTACACAAAGAAAATGCTAACAGCTAAGAGTTTATCAACCAGTTTTTGCAAATTATAAAGCTTCTATGTCATTCCTTGGGCAATCTACTTCCGTAGTGAAACTGCCTCGGAAACCCAAGGAGGGGTCGCTATGAGTCGGGGCCGACTTGACGGCAAATAACAACAACAACAACAATGTCATTCCTATTACAAACTTTTTCCCCAACACAATCTGTAAGATTTTTTTCCCTTTCCTTCTTTCCTTTTCCTTATTCCTTCCTCCTTTCCTTTATTTTCAAACACTAATTTTCACTTGGGAAAACATTAATTTCTATTTTTTATCTAAAAGCTCATATGTGACCTTACAATTATCTGGAGAGTAACATTGGAATACATACTTTAAAAAAAATTATTGACATGTCCATACTTATAAATTCTGGACTATTAGTGCTACTGTTGTTGTGGTGGAGGTGCTGTTGAGTAGATTCTGACTCCTAGTGCCCTGTGTACAACAGAATGAAACACTGCACAGTCCTGTGCTATCATCACAGTCCCTGCTGTGCTTGACCCCATCCTTGCAGCCACTGTGTCAGTCCACCTCATCGAGGGTCTTCCCCTTTTTCTCTGACCCTTCACTTTACCAAGCATGATATTCTTTTCCAGAGACTGGACTCTTCTGACCACATGACAAAAGTAGGTGAAACAAAGTCTGGCCATTCATGCTTCCAAGGAGTATTCTGACTATGCTTCTTCCAGGATAGATTTGTTCATTCTTCTGGAAGTCCATGGTGTTTTCAGTATTCTCTGCCAACATCCCAATTCAAAGGCATCAATTCTTCTTTGGTCTTCCTTATTCACTGTCCACCTTTCACATGCATACGGTGATTGAAAACATCATGGCTTGGGTTATGCACACCTTAGTTTTCAAATTGACATCTTTGCTCGTCAACACTTTAAAAGGTCTTTTGCAATAGATTTGCCTAGTACAATGTTGTTGTTGTTGTTATTTGCCGTCGAGTTGCCCCCGACTCATAGCGACCCCTCCTTGGGTTTCTGAGGCAGTATCACTATGGAAGTAGGATTGCCCAACCTTCCTTCCGAGGAGTGGCTGGTGGGTTTGAACCGCCAGCCTTCTGGTTAGCAGTCAAGTGCCTTAGGCACTATGCTACCAGAGCTCCTTTGCCTAGTACAATATGACATCTGATTTCCTGACTGCTGCTTCCATGAGTGTTGATTGTAAATCCAAATAAAATAAAATCTTTGACAACTTTAATCTTTTCTTAATTTATCATGATATTGCTTACTGGTCCAGTTGTGAGGACTTTTGTCTTCTTTGAGATGTATTCCATACTGAAGACTTTGATCTTCATCAGTAAGTGCCTTCAAGTCATCTTCACTTTCAGCAAGCAAGGTTGTGTCATCTGCCTATCACAGATCATTAATGAGTCTTCCTCCAATCCTAATGCTTCAGTCCCCTTCATATAGTCCAGCTTCTTGGAATATTTGCTCAGCATACAGATTGAGTAAGTATGGTGAAAGGATGCAACCCTGATGAATAGCCTTCCTGGTTTTAAGCCATTCAGTATTCCCTTGTTCTATTCAAATGACAGCGTTTTGGTCTATGTACAGGTTCTTCATGACCATGGTTAACTGTTCTGGAATTCCCATTCTTCACAATGTTATTAATTTGTTATGATCCATATAGTCAAATGCCTTTACATAGTCAACAAAACACAGGTAAACATCTTTCTGGTATTTGCTTCCAGCTAAGATCCATCTGACATCAGCAATGATATCCCTCATTCCATGTCCTCTTCTGAATCCAGCTTGAATTTCTGGAAATTACGTATCAATATACTGCTCCAACCATTTTTTAATTATCTTTAACAAGATTTTACTTGTGTGTGATATTAATGATATTGTTCAATAATTTTAGAATTCTGTTGGCTCATCTTTCTTTGTAATGGGCACAAATATGGAAATCTTCCAGTCGGTTAGCAAGGTAGCTGTCTTCCAAATTTCCTGGCATAGACAAGTAAGTGCTTCCAGCACTGTATCCGTTTGTGGCAACATCTCAATGGATATTTCGACAATTCCTGGAGGCTTTTTTTTTTTCCCCCAATTCCTTCAGTGCAGCTTGGACTTCTTCCTTCAATACCATTGGTTCGTGATCATATGCTACCACTGAAATGACTGACCATTGACCAGTTCTGCCTCTCAAACCAAACTCACTGCCATCAAGTTGGTCCCAACGCATAGCGACTCCTCCTTGGGTTTCTGAGGGTATCTCTATGGATGTAGATTGCCCAATCTTCCTTCAGAGGAGTGGCTGATTGCCTTCTGATTAGCAGTCAAATGCCTTAGGCACTAGGCCACCAGAGTGCTTAATTTCCTTAAAAAACAAGCAAGCAGTTTTTGCAATTGGTTTGACTTTTAGAAAAGTTTTGGCTTTTCTAGTTAACACCCTTAAATTATGACTCAACATTCTACATTTTCATAAATGACTCAAAATATTTCAAACAAATATGCTAAATTACATGGATCACACAACTGTATACTTTAACAGAATTTTACTGTGTCTTGGAAATTTAGCTACAGGGGACACTGTAAGAAATAATCATTCTCAGAACTGCCTTACAAGCTTGCTATTTAACCATAGGCGGATTACTTAGCCTCTTTGTGTTTGTTTCCTCATCTAGAAAAACGAACCTCTAAAATCCTTTCCACTTCTAATACTTTCATAAATTAAGTGAACTAAAACTATCACAGAAAAAAAGTTACAATAGTTAACCTATAAAAAGAAAAAAAACAAACTCACTGCCATTGAGTCGATTCAGACCCATAGTGACCCCCTTTGGGTTTCCAAGACGGTAAATCTTTACGGAAGTAGATTGCCTAGTCTTCCTTCCACGAAGTGGCTGGTGGGTTTGAACCACCAATCTTCTGTTTAGCAAATGCCTTAGGCACAGTCAAAAAAATATTGAGCTATTTAAAGTTAGCAAACCACGTTTATTTTTTTCTGTCTATACTTCACTATAAAGGAAATAAAACATATGAGGACTAACATACAGCCAGTACACTACATTAAACATTATTGAATAAGCATTTTGTTACTAGTTTAAGAATGGTGTTTAACCTTAACTCTGAGGATTAAGTAAACTGTCCTTGAAACATGAGGATAAAGTATTCACTTCCAAGTCATTTACTAATTTTATCCATGATAATTCAAATGACAGTTCCCATAAAAATGAACAAATGAAAGCATTTTCTGGTCCTTTCCTCCAAAAAAGGCTGGTAACGGGAGTAATGAGCTAATGTGGGGTCACAAACTCAGAGACTTCTAGAAGCCTGGCACAAGAACTAAATGTGTGAAGCAGCTTTACATAACACAACAGAGAGTGGTAGGTCATTGACAACAGAAGAGTTCTGCCTTGCATAAAAAGCTGTGGTAAAACCATTCTAATTAAAAAACATTTTAAGCCACTGAGCTGGCCAAACAAGATTTGTATTGGAAGGTCATCAGAGTGACTTTGGTTCTTTTTAACATACACAACTTGTGGTTTTTCTTGTAGGGAAGATGGATATCCTGTTTGATGATGGATCTGTATAGATCAGCTTATGAGATCGACAGTACTTCAAAACTATACCAGGTATCCAAGAGCTTATTTGCCATAAAAAATAAATAAAAAATACTTCCATAATTTTAAAAAATAAAGATTTAAAAGTCTATTTTTATATTCATTCATTCAACATTCAACAATTAGTGGATACTTACTAGCTACTAAGCATCATCAATCTTTTAAGACAGGAAATTGGTATAGTGTTTTTGTAAAGCTATATAAATTTTACTGCTAGAAGAATAGTCCTCTGTTTAAAAAAAAAAAAAAACCTCACTTTTTTATCCAAAGATTACCCATATATTTAACCTACAAATCATTTATCTGGGAGAAAATTCTTAATCAAGCAAAGTATTAGCAATAAATGATAATGGCTGGTTTAAACCAGGAAACACACCCACCACTCTGATACTTTTTAGCTCCAGCTTTTTAGCCTTATTTGAAAATTAGCATGATGTTCATACTTCCTTAGAGAATTTTAACTGTCATTCCAAGAAATGAAAGTATAAAGAAATCATTTATGAATTAGATGAAATGATAAGTATGATTAGCTGAATTCTCTGGCAGTTTTTCAAGGAATTTTCTATTTGCAACGAAAGCCTATGCTTAGTTCCAGAAATTCCACTCCTAGGTATATACTCAAGAGAATTGAAATATATGTCCACACATTAAAAAAAAAAAAAAAAAAAAAAAACAACTATTAAAAAAAACCGTTCCCAGTAGCATTATTCATAATAGCCAAAAAGCAGAAACAATCCAAATGCCCATTAACTAATGGATGGATCAACAAAATGTGGTATATCCATACAATAGAAAATTATTTGGTCATGAAAAGGAATGAAGTACTGATACATGCCAAATCATGGATGAAACCTTAAAAACATTATGCTAAGTGAAAAAAGCCAGACACAAAACTCACACATTGTTTAATATCTTTTATATGAAATGTCCAGAATAGGGAAATCAATAGAGACAAAAAATAAGTTTGTAATTGCTAAGAGGTGGAAGAAGGAGGGAATGGAGAGTGACTGTTAATGCGTATGAGGTTTCTTTCTGAGGTGATGAAATGTTACAGAACTGAAAATGGTGATGGTGGAACAACTTTGTGAATATATATACTAAAACAAATGAATTGTAGACTTTAAAAGGGTGAACTTTGTGGTATGTGAATCATAGCTCAAGAAAACTACTATTTAAAAAGTATACAGTTCTTAAAACCTATTTATAGTAAATATCTAAAAGAAGATTTCATATTCTGCTAACATACTCGGTATATATATATATATATGAATCATCCCCAAAATTATTTGTTAATGAAAAACTTTGTTTGAAAACACCATTCTTACTATAATTATAAAACAGGAAACAAAAACAAAAGAAATTTTTAAACGTAAATATATTTAAAAAAATTAAAACACCTAAGAAATGCAATCTATACATATGAAAAAGTAAAATATTTATATGCATAACAAGTAGTAGCAACATTATCCATAAGCAGCAGTTAGTGTTTATTTTTCCCATATTTTGGTTTAAGACCATACTGGTAGTTTATTCCTTTTAGGGAAATTGCATAAGGTACATACAGCATGTTATGAGTAAGTTAAAGAAGACTGTAATTGGAAAATTAATTCCAAATAACAGCATTTCCTCTAAAAACACATTCATTGTTACACAAATTATTTTATATTAGAAGACAATAAAATGAACCTGTAATTTATTAAGTCCAAGATATATAGTCAACTTGCATAAAAGTACATATGGCATTTTAAAAACAGCCTATTTCTAAAATATCAGTAATTCAGGCAACTGGGATTTCCATAGGAGATAAGTTTCCATTAATTTCCTTTTTATGAAGAAAAGACCTACATTATGAATGTTGCAATTATGTTATTATGAAATGCTACAGCATACTTTAAAAATCAAAATGGTGAAACATATGCATCAGGATATTCTTTTATTGGGTACTAGCCCTACAGCAGCATTTTAAAAGTTTATTAAATGTAGTTAACCACATTTCCAAATTACTTAGGTTTTTAATCTTCTCTTAAAATACATATGTATAATTTAGTTAAGAACTATAATTTCCATTATAAATGGGAACCTATCTTGCTGATAATCTAAAGATATAAGAAATAAAGTACTTGGATAGTCTAGTACTTTATTGAAAACATATATGGAAATACATATCCTGACTCCACAAAAACAATAAACTTGTATATGTAAGCAAAATATTAAAAATTTCTAATTTGAGAAAAATGAAATTAAATACAATGAGTGGTTTTCTCTTAATTTTTAACTGTAAAATCCCTTTTGCCTATTTATTTGACCCGTCTCTATTCATGCAATGTAATGAGCCTTCAAAAGAATTTACACATCTTTATACAGAATTCACATCTATATCAGTAAACAGCCAGTCCTTTTGTATTTTCAGTGCCTTGTCAAAATATGGGTAACAAAGTTCTTCACTCTATGAGGCAGGAAGATGTTTCCTAAGTACTTCTTTGGATGATGAGGATATAGTATCTGGAAAGGACACCTCAAATTCTATTAGAAGGTCACCACGTTGGTCAGGATTTTTTGGAAATGGCAGGCCATACCCGATAATTCTTCTCCTCATTCCAGGCTTCACAATATCATTTAATGACATAGGTATGGTTCTTCCATCTATTGTTGGTACATTAATTGAGCAGCCACACAATGCCTAAAATGGACCAACAAAGATAAAATTAACAAACTTTTTAACACTTAGAAATCTAAACAAAAAAATTACCAGGTGCTAAAGAATGACACCACTAAATTTTTAAGCTCCAAAACAATCAGTAATTATAAAAATTGTTCTCCATTAGAAATTCCCTTCAAGATAGGCATTATCATGCTCTGAAAATTTTCACCCAAATCACACTAAAAAGTGTGAAAAAAAATAATAAAGAAAAAAAAACTTGAAAAAAAGGTATGCATTATCAGAAATGTTACAAAAGAGTACACGGGACAGGATTGAAAAGGAAAGGGTGTCTTCCAGACAGCCCTGGAATAAAATAGGTAAGTTTGACATTGCTACTAAAACAGCATTAAAGATGCAGGAATGGAACAGGTGAAGAGAAGAGGGAGAAATTCATGACTGGAAGAATTGGATAGAAGCAGTTACCTACTTCCCTGGAGGGAAAATGTGGAAACAAGAGATATATTTATTATTTTGTTCAATAAATGTTTACTGAATCCCTACTCCATGACTCACATTCCTGTTAAATGCTGAGCATATAGGGACCACTGAGATGGACCCCACCTGAAGGAATGCACAGCCTACTGGAAGAGACATATAAGCAAACTAGCAATTTTAATACAGTATAATGCTGGCATGGAGGTATGTGCAGAAGTCTTTTGTGAAAGGATAGGCACCTGACTTACCTCTACCCGTCGGGAGTACAGAATACTTAAGCTAATAAGCAATGGACTGGTAGTAGGTATTGGGGCAGAATGAGGAACTGTAGTTTTCCGGAGAACAGAACTCAATGACACAGATATATACTAAAGAATAATCAGATCCAACTCATAGCAACCCCTCCTTGGGTTTCCAAGGCAGTATCACTATGAAAGTAGATTGCCCAATCTTCCTCCCAAGGAGTGGCTGGTGGGTTTGAACCACCAGCTTTCTGGTTAGCAGTCAAATATCTTAGGCACTATACCACCAGAGCTAGAACTCAATGACACAGATATATACAAAAGAATAATAGAGCAAACTTAGGAAAATGCATGTGCATTTATGGGTAGAAAGTAGGTTAAAATGACCTTTTATTTCAAAACAGAGTTTAGACTTTACAGTAGATGATATATGGAGTTATTTTAAAAAATTTAAGCAGAGAACTGACATGACCATAGTTGTGGGATATAATCCAATTTGAAATATAGTGCCTAAAAACAGAAGAAATAGGAACTTATATATTAAGGCTATACTCTTATTTATTATTTTGTCTCTCAATATTTTTAATGCTTTGTTATACAATTATAATTACAACTTTGGAAAAAAACCTTAAGAGATCAGCTAAAATGATGACCTTACAAATGTAGATCTCATAAACCACACTTGTAAAAACAGAACAGAGTTCACCCAATATTAGGCACATAATTCAGTAACATAAGGAGCTCTGGTAGCATAGTGGCTAAAGCACTTGACTGCTAACCAGAAGGCTGGTGGTTCAAACCCACCAGCCACTCCTCGGAAGGAAGGTTGGGCAATCCTACTTCCGTAGTGATACTGACTCGGAAACCCAAGGAGGGGTCGCTATGAGTCGGGGCCGACTCGACGGCACATAACAACAACCACCACCATTCAGTAACATAAATTTGGCATTTAAACTGTTTGGATAGGTAATTAAACTTAAAAACTATAACTTCATCCATAAAAGAGGTATAACAGTAGTACTACATCAGAGGGCTGTTATGAGGATTAAGAAAATAATGTGTAGTAAGCATTGAATAAATATTATTTAGATAAATTCCCTAAGATCAGCTGCATTATTCTATTTGGTCTCAGAATTGCAAGGTCCTATAAACTTACCTCTCGTAAACTAATTTTAGCATTATAAATGATATTTGACCCATCTCTTTTAAATTTGGGGTGATCTTTATCTTTAATGATAAAAACGATGTCTGCTGGAATACTGTTGGGTGTTTCATCTCCTTCTCTTGGAAAAGTAATTTTGGTGCCTTCTTTCCATCCTTTTTTAATCTCAATGGTGAGAATTTTGTCCTCAGATCTATAACTCCTCCCATCGGGGTTTAACCTTTTCCGAGAAATCTTCATCCGTTTGGTACAACCACTATATATCTCTTCAAGTGATACTCTAAGTTCATGAATAACTGGAGGATCTTGTTTGAGGCGGGATGGTCCCACAGAATTCCTGTCTCTTGGATATCCATTCATGCTGAATCCAAAGGCACTAAAAGGGTCCCCATCTACTTCCATATCTTCAGAATCTCTACCACCAGCCATTCGTCTTCCAAAGAAAATTTCAAAGGGGTTTGAACCTCCAAAAAATGCTGCAAATGTGGCATGAGGATCACCATGAAAGGTGTACCGGAAGGTACCACCTTGGCCATCAGTACCTCCGGCTCCTCCTTTTAACCCTAAGTGAAAAAGATAAGCATGATTAGAAAACACCTTGTACCCTTTGAAAGTTAAACTTTTAAAAATGTTATTGCTGATAAATGTTGGCTAACTTAGGTTGCAATTTATTAATACTGGCTAGAAAGGACATTATAACTAAATAAAGAACAGCTATAGGACTTCTGTTGATTACAGCCTAAGTTAACTGTTTAGCTTTCAAATTCTTCCTCCAAATCCTTAGTTTTAGTGGTAATTTATTCTGGGTAACTATCCCAGAGGTGAATAAGAAAAACAAAATCAAACCAGGAACCTATTTTATAAACTATACTAGAGTTTGGCATACTGGGATATATAAAGTTAAATGTTTAAAAATGTCTTCAGTAACCAATGTAAGATACAAAACTAAATATTTAAGTGCCATTATAATCAATAAGTACAATAAATACAAAATACTAAATCTATACTAAACAGCTAAATTAGTTAACTTTTATTGTTTAAGAATTAAAACAGGATTCTTTCTGTGGCAGAAAGGAAAAAATTTCTAGTAATGAGGACACCCTATTAAAGTATTTTTTTAGACAATAAAATAGTTACTCCTATCCTAGATACTAGGAGCTCTAGTGATACATTGGTTAAAGCATTCAGCAACTAACCAAAATGTCCATTGTTGGAGCCCAACACCCCCTCCTTGGGACAAAGATGTGGTAGTCTACTTCTATAAAGATTTACAGCCTTGGAAACCCTATGGGGCAGTTCTACTCTGTCCTGAGTAGAATGATATATCCAAACAGCACTTAAAGGAAATTCCATGTAGAAATAGAATGGTAAGTATAAGCAGGGCAAGAAATTTTAACATGAAAATCACACAACACTTTTTTCTATAAATTTCAGTGGTATAGTTATGATTAACAACTCCTGATGTTAAAAAACTAATGACTCAGAATCGAATCAATGGCAGTGGGTTTTATCCTAGATACCAAAATTATTTATCTAGGCATACCATGTCATAGCTAGCATTAATTTCAGCAGTACATGAAAAGAAGATTGAAATCAAGAGCTATAAAGCTTCTTGACATGTAAGGCCTTTGGACTGGTTATTTCTGTCTGCACAACCCAGTTTAGATCGCTATATGGTTACCCTCTGACACTACTACATGAGCAGTATCTTCATTTGCTCTAATGTTCTACTAAGTAATATACAGATCACAGAGATCACATATTTGAAACTACATTTTTCACTACACACCAAAGACATATTTCTACTAAAATCTACAAAACAACAGTACAGTGATCATTTAAGGGACGAATAATGATAAGGATTTATCATTACAGTATTAACAAAGTTTCTGAATGAGCCTTACAGGCTTTCCTGAACAAGGAAGCAAATTAAGAATTATAAATCTAAAAATTATAAAACCATGAAAAATTCAAGAGATTAAATTATGAGATTCTAATATCCTCTGATATGTTCAAAAAGTAGGTAATTTGAGGGAAGGAAATAGGTTTTATTCATTTTTGCATTGCATATGCATACAGGGCAGTAACATGATAGGCATTCATTTTACTGAATGAAGGGAATGAACCAATTCTCAGTGTTGTCCTAAATCAAACTAAAAAAGGTGACTTGATTGTCAGGATAGTGAAGATGGCAGAAGCAAAAGCACTGTGTATGTGTATATACATATATTTTTTTCACATATAAACATATAAGAGAGATTTAATAATTAAAGGGTTCAATGAAAACATGCAATATGCTTTGAAAGAGACTGAATTTTGTATACTTTATTGTATATTTGGCACCTCTAACTGAAAGGCATATGCATACACACACACAATTGTGTGATCTAACAGAGTCTCAGCTGATGTCTGAAGTTCATTCATGAATAGAAATCTAGAGAGATCAAAGTTGTTGTTGTTGTTGTTATGTGCCGTCGAGTCAGCCCCGACTCATAGCGACCCCTCCTTGGGTTTCTGAGGCAGTATCACTATGGAAGTAGGATTGCCCAACCTTCCTTCCGAGGAGTGGCTGGTGGGTTTGAACCGCCAGCCTTCTGGTTAGCATTCAAGTGCTTTAGCCACTATGCTACCAGAGCTCCAAAGAGACCTAATAATTTGAGAATAATCAAAATATGTAGTTAATAATACATCTAAACAGCACTTAAGGAAACTTCCATGTAGAAATAGAATGGTAAGTATAAACAGGGCAAGAAATTTTAACATGGAACTCATACAACACTTCTTTCTATAAATTTCAGTGGTATAGTTATGATTAACAACTCCCGATGTTAAAAAACTAGTGACAGATTTTTTTTTAATGGTAGGATATGTATGTAACTCAAGGTAATGACAATGTGACAAAACGAATTTTTAAGTTATTTCAATCATTTTATCTTTTATCCCCAAATTAGTAGAGTGTAATAATTTAACAATGTTAATAAAGTTAGGTTCCCACTCTAACACTCTACAAGACAAAATCTAAATGTTTTGAACCCATAATGGAATCATGAAAGAATAATATTGTAAGCTATTATATTATGGGTTTGGCTTTTCCCTAAAACCTCTTCCCTACTCTGATAAAAATCATAACTCAATCAGGATTATAAATAATATCCCTGAGAAGATTCATACTGTCTGAAATGACTTATTTATCAAAGCTGACAAAAAGCATTCCATGCAGCTCTGAAGTTTTTCTAGACACTAAAGAGTCAATTCTGTACGTCAGATAAAGGATAAGGCAACTGTAACTGGGCTGAAAAATCCTACCAAAATCCATGCCATTATAATATAAATGAATTATTACATAAGTATCACTTGCATTCACTAAGACTTCAATTATAAGACATGTCCATTAACGGTATACCAAAAAACACCAAACTCATTGCCTTGGAGTCGGATCTGATTCATAGTGACCCTTCCTTGGGTCTCCAGGTGGTATCTCTATGGAAGTAAATTGCCCAATCTTCCTTCTGAGGAGTGACCGGTGGGTTTGAACCGCCAGCCTTCTGGTTAGCAGTCAAATAAATGCCTTAGGCACTATACCACCAGAGCTCCTATTAACTGTATGTTGTTGCTGTGTGCCATCAAGTCTGACCGGACTCAGAGCGACCCCTCCTTGGGTTTCCGAGGCGATATCACTATGGAAATAGATTGCCCAACCTTGCTTCTGAGGAGTGGCTGGTGGGTTTGAACCGCCAGCCTTCTGGTTAGCCGTCAAGTCCCTTAGGCACTATGCTACCAAAGCTCCCCCTATTAACTGTATAGTCACCTCTTAATTACCTACATTTTGATTGCTCATAGGAAATATTAATATTCAACTGGATTCCCTCAAATAATATTCCCTGGATTCCCAAAATGTTTTCTAGACACCATCATCACTTTATAGGATCAAGGAATGTACTCTAGAATGAACATTAACCTAAGCTTTAGTTAGGCTATTATTTTTTAAAACAAACCATCTAATCAATCTACAATCCAAACCAATATATGAATTCTCCCAGTTAGTTGAGTTTATTATAAGTTTATCAAAAAGAGAAATTTTGGAAAAAATTGAATTTTGAAGAAAAAATAATAAAATTTTAATAACTCTTACTTTAAGGAAACCTGGTATGTAAAAATCCAGATTATATCAAGGCTTACAGTTACTAGTATAATGAGTCTCATTGAACAGTTTTTGATTGACAAAAATCCAATTTACTTACATATTTTTAGAAACATAGTAAATAGTTGATTAAATATTTAAGTAAAAGAACAAAAAAAGCAAGCTAGTATAAAGATTAATATACTAAAAAGTTTGATCATATAAATATTACTTTTCAGTAATAAATAAATAAGTCAGTCACAGAATAAACTATAAACAAAAAAAGAAAGACATAAAGAAGGAGAAATGTTAGAGAACTAGAGTAAATACCCAACCATAAGGAAATGTTTTAAAAATCTTTTAATGCAAATTTTGGTTGACATACACTGAACCAATTCAAAACTTTGGTTTTAAATTTCTGTAGTTCTGTATTTTTTGTTTTCAAATGATTCAAGATATGGATAAAATGTCTCCACAGTTTTTAAAAAGCTATTTTTTAAAATAGTTCTATTATCACAGACCATAATTTTACCTGTTCTAAATATGTAATTCAATGATTTTAGAAAATTTAGAGTTGTGCAACTATCACTACAATCCAGTTTTAGAACATTTCCATTATTGCAAATTGTTCCCTAGTGTCTATTTGTAGTTAATCTCCACTCCTACTGCCAGCCCTAGGCAATCACTAACTTTCTTTCTGTCTATAAAGTTATCTTTTCTACACATTTCATGAGCTCTGGTAGCACAGTGCCTAAGGCACTTGACTGCTAACCAGAAGGCTAGCGGTTCAAACCCACCAGCCACTCTCAGAAGGAAGGTTGGGCAATCCTACTTCCGTAGTGATATTGCCTCGGAAACCCAAGGAGCGGTCGCTATGAGTCAGGGCCGACTCGAGGGCATATAACAACAACAACAACAACACAAACATTTCATATAAATAGAGTAGTCACACAGAATATCTAGCTTCTGTCACTTAGCATAATATTTGAGTTCCATTCATGTTGTAGCAAGTTTCATTACATCAGTCTGTTTAACTGCTGAACAAAACACATTTTATCGATTCACCAATTTATGGGGCTTTTGGATTGTTTCCATTTGGGGGCCGTAACAAATAATGCTGCAATGAACATTCACATACTTTTATTTGTGTGGACATATGTTTTCATTTCTCTTGTGTAGAGTCCTAGAGTTGGAATTGCTGGGTCATATGGTAAGTTTAAAACATCTCTATTTCTATCAACTTTCTCACCAAAATTTTGAAATGTGGATATTAAAATTGTTCAGAACATAAATAAATTGGACTACTGGTTCTCCTAGTTCTTAAACATCTAAATTTAGCATATTCATTTCATACTCTTCTCAGTTCATGACTCCCTTTTCCCACGGTCCACTGTCCCAGGCTCCAAGTTTTAAAATAGAGTATAATAATTTAAAAAAAAGATTAAAAAAAAAAAAAGGTGTATCAGGTACATAGAAGGTGGCTTCACAGTCCTAAAATTCAGTGTTTTATAACTATTACTGAGACAAGTAACAGTGGCTATAGAAAAAGACCTGTAGATACAAACACCAATGAAAGGCAAAGAAAGAAAAAATTTCCCTTACTTTCACAATGTCCTTAAAGAGTAATTTTTAAAAGAATTAGAGATGTTCAGAATAAAGAGCAAATTAATTTAACCTCTTTTGCTGAAGAAAAATAACTTTCATTTAGCCATATTTTCAAGTGACCTATCAGTAGACAATGAATGTATCTCTATGCTTTAAAAAGCCTATTCTCCCCTTACTCTTTCCTCTTATTGCCTATATCAATTTCTGAGTCAAAAAGGAAAAAGATTCAGAGTGTGCACATGACCCTGGCTTAGTTTTTTAAAAATTTACTCACTAACCAAGATACATAAACACTGGCAAAACAGCACTCAAGAAAAGCACTATTTGAGATAATTTTTAAACCTGAAACCAAAACTATAGTTCAGTTTAACTAGTAAATAATGTCTACATTGAGCAATGTGCTCTCTTACTATACACGATCATCCTGCTTATCTGAATTTCATATTTTTAATTCAAATGAGCACAGTCACTGCTTGACTTTATTTTTAAGGATGCATTTCTAGTTCGGAAGACTGAACATTAAATGCAATAAAAGAAGCAAAGGGATATATTAAAAAAAAGTTATAATGATTTAAAAGAAAACATTGTGGGAGAAAAGCTAACAATAAAATAATATAGTTTTCGTCCAAAAAGTTGAAAATCCCAGAATAGGAATCAATTTTTTTAAAAAAATAGCAATTTAAAAATATTTACTTTAGCAAAGTAAAATAGTCTTATTTATTAACAAGAGAGTGCTTTCTGAATTTATATGGACATGGACAAATTTTATTTAAAATTCAGAATGATAAAAGGATAATCTTAAATTATCCCCATTTATAATATTCAACTGGGAGCTCTGGTAGTATAGTGCCTAAAGCACTTGACTGCTAACCAAAAGGCTGGCAGTTCAAACCCACCAGCCACTCCTGGGAAGGAAGGTTGGGCAATCTACTTCCATAGTGTTACTGCCTTGGAAACCCAAGGAGGGGTCACTATGAGTCGGCCGACTCGAGAGCACATAACAACAACAACATAGTAGTCAACTAGTTTTTGATCTCATAATGCAAGAAACAAAAGTATGGCAGGGAGAGGAAAGGGACATTGTCATGCTTTCCTCTACACCTAGATACTAAAATCTCAAAAGAAATGATACCTAAAAGTAAATTAAAAATTGTTCTAACTCCCTAGGTGGCCATTTTAGGTTAAAAATTGTATTTTTGAAAACATTTTCTTGGCACACAACTACTGTTTACAATTAAGCTAAAAACTTGTTCTGGTATTTTATGACATCAGGAAAATTCTTTCCTCTCCAGGCAGAATGCCAGAAACAGCTAGAGGCTAAATGCCTCGGCCTTCTGCTTCTAAAAGAAATGTTTTTATCTTGTTCAGTGTATAAAAAAGGCAAAAACTTTTTGTTCTGTGAATAAAATATAAATTACCCAGAATTTAAACTGCCAATCTTAAGGTTTCAAATGATTAAAGGCTCTTTACTGTTTCTGGGGGGAAATTCATCAGCAAACAAAACAGGTTGCATAAGACTTTTGACATAATTCTTAACGGGCAATGGGAATTTAAGATCTCTTTAAAATATACAATGTTGACATCATAAATCTAAGGGTAGAATATGTATAATACAAAATGCTAAAAATAAAAGATAAATAAGTATATTTTCATTCATAGCTATGTAATATTCATATGACCTAGGATCAAATCTTGCTTTTATTCATTAATTGTCCTTCTACTTTTTCTATGTCAAAGAATCCAATTCCGTGATATCCAGCAGAAAGGCTAACAGAGGAAGAAAAAAAAAAAAGGCAGAGAGAGAGAGAAAGACACAGAGGCGAAGAGACAGAATGAACATAATACTTACCCTCTTCCCCAAACTGATCATATATTTCTCTCTTTTTAGGATCACTCAATACTTCATAAGCTTCTGCGACCTCTTTAAATTTTTCCTCTGCTTGAGGAGATTTGTTCTTGTCTGGATGAAATTTGAGGGCTTGTTTTCGGTAAGCCTTTTTAATATCTTCATCTGAAGCTCCTTTTTCAATTCCCAAAATGCAGTAATAGTCTTTCCCCATTTCGAATGCCTTGAAATGAACTTAGATTTCCCTTTGTAAAAAAAAAAAAAAAAAACAGCGTCCCCAGTCTTAGCAATACAATGATTCTAAGAAAAATAACCAAGCTGGGTATTTTAAAAGTTAAAGCAAATCAGCAATTCTCTAGTTGTCTTACGGCAGCAAGCAGACAGCGTTTCTGTATTTAATTCCTTCCCCAACAGCTCACTTACAGATAAATATACACTACACAGGAGACTGCCTCCTCCTAGATCCTCCCATTTTCACTACGTGTCTCTGTACTTTCTAGAACAGCAAATGCTACAGGACGTCACTTCCCCAGCTGCCTCTAGTCAAGTACGAGCTACATTTTCTCCTCCTCCACAATTAACTATTCATTTTCCTTCTGGCTCTATCATTTTAATTTCCTTTTAAGAGGTCAAGTAGATTAAGAAGCCAGTATTTCATCACACAACGCCTTAATTACATATTTATTTACTCCACTGTAGGTAACAAAGCAACAAAAAATGTATACCTATTAAGCATGCTATATTAAAGTAAGTTATTACAGAAATAAACGTATAAATTTCAAGTTATTCAATAGTAAAATCTGGTTTGTTTGCATTAAAATTTTCAAATAATTTATATCATTTTCAAAGTTCCTGGATTCTATAAATCATAAATGCCAGGAAGTCAATATAATAATTTTATATTGTAAAAAGGATGTCTATTCTAAAATTTAAAAGAAATATTTTAAAGCAAGGACTTAAATATGATTTTATTTAAAACATATAGCTTTTTATAGTATACAAAAGTTAATAGTTCTAACAAACCAATGTTTATTTGTGAAACTTAATATCTGAATTTAATTCAATTAAGACAGAATGAGACCCTTTATTCTTAGATCAATGTTTAAGAAAATTCCGTGCAGCAGGAATGTAGGAGAACAGGAGTAGGTTATAGACAGTACATATTCATTTTCCTTATAAGACCTTAACAGGATTAACTTAAAATCTAAATATGTAAGCCCCAAACTCATTGCCAGTGAGTCGATTCTGACACACAGCAACCCTATAGAGCAGAGTAGAACTGCCCCACAGTTTCCAACACCGTAAATATTTATAGAAGCAAACTGCCACATCTTTCTCCTGTGGAGTTGCAGGTAGATTTGAACCACTGACCTTTCAGTTAGTAGCCAAGTGCTTAGCCACTGTGCTACCAGGGCTCTTCTTACGGGCAGTATTACGAGAAAATATTTTTCTTTTAAAACCATTATTTTTCCTAAGTATAAATATATACTCATTGCAGATTACTGGAAAAAAAGAAAAAAAGTCTCCCTACTATACCATTTTAGGTAATATTTACTAAATGTTAGTATATTTCTTTTTTGTCCTTTTTTTCTACAATTATTTATGGTTATATTTGCTAGTTCATTTTTGTTTTTTGTAACTAAGTTTAGATCACAGCCTTTTTAACTTTTTAAAAAAAAAAAACAACATATTTTGGATTTTTTATAAGATTTTTTCAGTGTATATGACTCATCTCCTGACAAGTTTTTCTCATATTTTTTAAAATACTTCCATTTATAAAGTAATATTGGGAAGCTGAATTAATAAGAACATGTTGAAAGAATTATGCAGAGCTTCTATACATAGGAGTCTGTATGCTTACAAAACCTTTATAGGAGGAAAAGTAAATGTACAAATATGTTTAGAATGAAAAGGTGATGATCACATTAACCTTTAAAGATATGGGAACATCTATTCCATATGCCAAACAGCTTTACATTAAAAACCCAGCAATTCTTTCTGAATGTTTATCCTTATGCATTTTGACATCTATGATTTATTATTTCTAAAAACTCTATACTTTAAAAACACCTCAGTATTATTCATAACATCTATCAAGCTTACTTACAAGTTACGGAGATTATCACCTATTCAAAAATTGTTTTAGTCTTACCAAGGAATATTCCATATAAGAAACAAAAACTTTTAATTCCCCAAAAAGATGTAGCAGTTTGCATCTATAAACACAAAAATGCTAATATCTGAAGTCACTTTAATAGTCCTATTTTTAAAATACATATTGCAAAGTTGGGGCTCATCTCATTGTCATCTGGAGCAAAAGTATAATAAAAATCACCTATTCTATAATTTCCAAGGGAATTCCTTGAAATATTCATTACCAAAGGAACCATGACTTTTACTATGAAACATCTCAAATTGTTCTTGTGGGTAAGGCTGGGAGGGAAAAAATAAATAATCTTATCTGATTCAGTCATTTTCTGAGAGAAGTATTACCAGGACTTGACATATTAAAAAGATGTTTTTAAAAAAGCAAAAATATAAAATATAGAGCTACCATAGTGCCTAAGGTACTTGACTGCTAACCAGAAGGCTGGAGGTTCAAACCTGCCAGCCACTCCTCGGAAGTAAGATGGGGCAATCTACTTCCGTAGTGATACTTCCTTGGAAACCCAAGGAGGGGTTGCTATGAGTCAGGTCCGACTTGACGGCACATAACAACAACAACAAAGAAAAATCGTTTCATATTTGTGAGAAATACATTGTATTTTAGCTGATGGAAAGAATCGAGCTTGCCAAACATAAAGGATGATAGGGATTTTCATATTTCTTCACATATCACAAACAAAACAGAATCATAGTGGTAAATTTGAAAAGCAAGAATTCATCTCAACTTGGAAATTTTAAGTTAAGGAAGCAAATATAATTTTGATTCAAGACTATTAAATAATAAAATTACAAAATATCAAATTCTTGTGGAATCCAGATCTTCTGGAGCCATGGCAGCTAGATGAACCCCTACAACTATTGGTCTGAGATCATCTTTAAGCCTTAAACCGAAAATATTCCCTAAAGTCTTCTTAAAACCAAACAGTAGTTTTACTTTAACTCTTATATACTGTTGGTGGGAATGGAAAATGGCACAACCATTGTGGAAAATGGCATGGCACTTCCTTAAAAAGCTGGAAATAGAAATACCATATGATCTAGCAATCTCACTCCTAGGCATTTATCCTAGAGAAATAGAGCCATGACACAAATAGACATGCACATCCATGTTCATTGTAGCATTATTCACAATAGCAAAAAGATGAAAACAACTTAAGTGTCTATACACAGTGGGATCCTACACAACATTAAAGAATGACAAAGAATACATGAAACATCTCACAACATGAATGAACCTGGAGGACATTCCGCTGAGTGAAATAACAAAAAGACAAATAGTGTATGAGACCACTATTGTATAAAGTCAAGAAAAGGTTTTCACATAGAAACATTCTTTGATAGTCACCAGGAAAGGAAGGGGGAAGAAGGGAAAATCACTAGATGGTAAACGAATGTTAACTTTGGTAAAGGGAAAGACAATACACATAATGGGGGAAGTAAGCACAATATGACCAAGGCAAAGGAAGACACTGAGAGGTATGTAAAAGAAAAAGGCAACAACGGTAAATACAATTACATATACAATCCTCCAATAATAGTAGTAACAAACAATAATTTATGACTGGATACATAGGTAGAAATGTAAAGTGAATAAATGTGGGATGGTGTATGGAAGTACAACCACATGCATCTGTTGGTTTGACAGTGGCTATTTCTACATACACATTTGTATGTGCTGCAAATATATCCATGTATATAATAGAACAAAGAAGGGGACAGTCAGGAAAACTTCTTAGCTATAATCAAACACCTCATGGGACTGAGTTGCTGGGTTTGTGAGTTAGAGACAGTCTCAGAGAATATCTAAGTCAACTGGCATAACAGAGTCTAGAAAGACAATGTTCTTTCTCCTGGTTTGGTGAGTAGCAACTGGGGTATTAAAAGCTTACAATCAGCCACTAAGATTATTGGTCTCTCCATCCAGAGCAAAGGAGAGTGAAGAAAACCAAAGATGCAAGAAAACAATTAGTCCAAAGGACTAAATGGACTGCACTAACCTAGAATGAAGTAGATGGTACCCAGCTACTACTTCTGACAACCCTGACTAGCAACACAACAGAAGGTCTAAGAAAGAGTGAGAAAAATGTAGAACAAAATTCTAATAAAAAATTGGTCTGATAGAAACTAGTGGAACCCCCCAGACTATTGCCCTTATACACCCTTCAAATTTAGAACTGAACCCACTCCCAGAGACCACGTTATAGCCAAACAATAGGCAGACCTATAACTTGAAGTGTGCGCCCTAGAACATTCAACTATATGAGACCAAAATGGCAGCATTTGCCCAAAAGTAAAATTCAGAAGGCAGTAAGAGGCAGGCAAGCTGGGCAAATGGAAACACCGAACTCAGGGTAGAAAGGGGAGGAGTGCTGACAGGTTGAGGGGAATGCAACCAATGTCATGAAATGATCTAAGTATAAATTGTTGATTGGAAACTAATTTGCTTTGTAAACTTTCACCTAAACCACAATAAAAAGTTTAAAAAAGGAAAAATGTAACTACAGAGTCAGATTCCTCCTCTTCTAAATATTTACAATTTATAAGGTCAGTTTCTCATTTTGAGGCAACATTGTTCATCTATAATGGAAAGCATGTTACAATGTATTTTAAAGACATGATTTTAATTTTTCAACCACATTAACAAACTTCTTGTGTTGTTGCTAGGTGCCATCGAGTGGTCTCCAACTCACAGCAACCCACAACAGAACAAAATACCGCCCGGTCCTGTGCCAGCTCCACGATCCTTGTTATACTTGAGCCCAGTGCCACTGCCACCATGTCAATCCATCTCGTTGAGGGCCTTCCCCTCTTTCGTGGACTCTCCACCTTACCTAGCATGACATCCTTCTCCAGTGAATGATCCCTTCTGACAACATGACCAAAGTAGGTCAGACGAAGTCTGGCCATTCTCACTTCCAAGGAGCATTCTGGCTGTACTTCCTCCAGGACAGATTTGTTAGCTCTTTTAGCAGTCCATAGTACTTTCAGCATTCTTTGCCAACACCACAACTCAAGAGCATCAACTCTTTTTCACTCTTCCTTATTCACTGTCCAGCTCTTAAATGCAAATGAGGCGACTGAAAATACCATGGCTTGCATCAGGCACACCTTAATCATCAAGGAGATATCTTTGCTCTTCAGCACTTGAAAGAAGTCCTTTGCAGCCAATCTGCCCAGTGCTATACGTCCATCCTGACTGCTGCTTCCATTGGCGTCAACTGTAGAACCAAGCAATGTGAAGT